GGTGTTCAATATATTATACACAAGTGCCTAGAATCTATGCGGTGTTCCATTCATTATACAAAAGTGCCTAGAATCTATGCAGTGTTCCATATATTATACACAAGTGCCTAGAATCATTATACACCACAAATACCTAGAACTATGCAGTGTTCTATTCATTATACATCACAAACACCTAGAATCTATGCAGTGTTCTATTCATTATACACCACAGATACCTAGAACTATGCAGTGTTCTATTCATTATACACCACAAATACCTAGAACTATGCAGTGTTCTATTCATTATACACCACAAATACCTAGAACTATGCAGTGTTTCATTCATTATACACCACAAATACCTAGAACTGTGCAGTGTTCTATTCACTATACACCACAAATACCTAGAACTATGCAGTGTTCTATACACCACAAATACCTAGAACTATGCAGTGTTTTATTCATTATACACCACAAATACCTAGAATTATGCAGTGTTCTATTCATTATACACCACAAATACCTAGAACTATGCAGTGTTCCATTCATTACACTCTACTAACGCCAAGAATATATGTGGTGTTCCATTCATTATACACCACAAATACCTAGAACTATGCAGTGTTTTATTCATTATACACCACAAATACCTAGAACTATGCAGTGTTCTATTCACTATACACCACAAATATCTAGAACTATGCAGTGTTCTACTCACTATACACCACAAATACCTAGAACTATGCAGTGTTTTATTCACTATACACCACAAATACCTAGAACTATGCAGTGTTCCATTCATTACCCTCTACTAACGCCAAGAATATATGTGGTGTTCCATTCATTATACACCACAACTACCTAGAACTATGCAGTGTTTTATTCATTATACACCACAAATACCTAGAACTATGCAGTGTTCTATTCACTATACACCACAAAATCCTAGAACTATGCAGTGTTCTACTCACTATACACCACAAATACCTAGAACTATGCAGTGTTCTATTCATTATACACCACAACTACCTAGAACTATGCAGTGTTTTATTCATTATACACCACAAATACCTAGAACTATGCAGTGTTCTATTCACTATACACCACAAATACCTAGAACTATGCAGTGTTCTATTCACTATACACCACAAATACCTAGAACTATGCAGTGTTTTATTCAATATACACCACAAATACCTAGAACTATGCAGTGTTTTATTCATTATACACCACAAATACCTAGAACTATGCAGTGTTTTATTCATTATACGCCACAAATACCTAGAACTATGCAGTGTTCTATTCATTATACGCCACAAATACCTAGAACTATGCAGTGTTTTATTCATTATACACCACAAATACCTAGAACTATGCAGTGTTTTATTCATTATACGCCACAAATACCTAGAACTATGCAGTGTTCCATTCATTACACTCTACTAACGCCAAGAATATATGTGGTGTTCCATTCATTATACACCACAAATACCTAGAACTATGCAGTGTTTTATTCATTATACTCCATTAATGCCTAGAATCTATGCAGTGTCCTGGGACATTCATTATACTTCACTAAGACCTAGTCAATGTGAGAAGTGTCAATCCCTTAAACATTGCATGGTCCTCAAAGTGCATTGCATGAATTGCAATGAAATAAGTTGAAAGCTGGTCAACATTACAAACCAATCATAGTGTATCTCTCCAATTTTAAAATCAGAGATATGAATCTGATAAACCTTTTATAAGAGATGTCTTTCTGTATATTTCAGTGTGTATAGTGATTGTACTTGATTTCGTAGTCACTTGATGCCATTGTACCGAATAAACGACATAAGAGTTACGTACGCACTATAGTCTACCTTGTCTCTTCACTAGTGTTATCACTACACAAATGCAATAACTGCAGTTTCTGAACCTGATCAAGTGTGAGCAATAAACCACAAAAAATACACTTAATAGGGTAAGCAAATGGCATGGAATCTCCAATACCACACGTTTTCTTTATAGTGTATGTATGGTAACAATAAACACAACTAAGTTTTCAGAAGTTTGTAGCTATCCTGTTTATTACCTTAAAAGGTTATTTCATGTATTCCACAACAAAAATTGTAAATGACAAAAAAAACCACCACCAATAAATGCTATCATTTGGTTTTCAAAACATTACTGTGCTTGAATGATTTATTATTATCTACATGTAACATAGATAGTTATTTTCTAAACAGACAACTAAAATTACTTACAAAATCATCTGTGCGGTGTATATGGAATATGTAAAATGACAATATTTTGTGTTCTTTGTTGCAAAAAAAAAAGCTGATGTGTAGTCATATGGGAGCGATAACTAATTGAATGAATAAACGGTGGTCACAACTGCATCTGTTCTATACAGGTTATAGCAACATACAAGTGTGTCTGTTCTATACAGGTTATAGCAACATACAAGTGTGTGTGTGACAAGTAAATGAAACAGTCTGACGACCACTGTGTCCTTTTGTCAATTCTCCATGTAATTCTAATTTTTCAGTGAACATTTTAGTAGTGACTGTGAAAATAAACTATAAGTATCTCTGAAATACCAATACATTTAGCAGGTAATCATACAGTAGAAAATGAATTGATTTTGGCATGTAGTCAGCTGTTTCATAGACACTACAAGTACACATGTTAAACCCTAGTAGAACTAATGTGTGTGGGTCACCAGTAACTTGATAATGTTGTGTTTTTCAGTTAGTTACCATGACATTGAAGTCTTCAGTGACAAGAGTAAACATGAAAAGTGACTTGTTAAATGATGAAAACATGGAAATTAGAATTGCAAAACACTACAGTCCCATTTTATCATTAATTAATTATCAACTGGTCTAGGGAGTCCAGTAGATCAACTGGCAGGTTTTGATTAAAATTTTCACGTCACACATGTAATACATTGTTAAAATTGTGCTTTTAATTTAAATTTGTTTGCTTACAACAAAAAAATTAAAACGTTTACATTTTTGCAAATCATAACTTCTCAGAGTAAGGGAACGCTGTAACAGACTGTCACATCAGACAGCTGTTTTGAATTACAATAAATTTAGGTTGAATTTTATGCAGATTTCGTGGAAGGTGCACTGTGTTTAATCATAGCACTTCAGAACTTCAAAAATATCATTTTTATAATGGTAGAATTGTTACAACTTTGTAGCCATAATATCATCTACTGGGTATGATTTCTGGAGCTGCGGGTCTCTAGCCGCTTGATTACCTCACACACAATAATCTTATTGGTCAATCAGAAATATGCAGTTATGGCATATATTAATTATAATACCAGCTTTTTGACCTGTACTGCAGGCATCAACATTGTCTTTTAATGTTTACAAAATGTTCGTAAAATATGAAAAAACAACAACTTATTTTTCAATTTAACAGACGTATGAAGCAAGACACAATATAATTTTGGTATCTGTATGTGCACTGTAAGATATCAGTGGGGACAAACCCAACTGTTGGAAATATAAATATGTACAAATAAAAGCATGAATTATAAAATAAATTATTAAAATAAGAATTTTGTTCCTTAAATTTATAACACAAGTTTCTTCTTTTTCGCTTGACCTTATTATTGCTGACCCATGGCCAAATATTTTATTAATCGCACAAACAAAAACAACATAATGTATAAACCTGTCTAAACCAAACTAAGTCATAACTAAACTCTGTCCAAACTGAAGACAATTTTTCAAGAATATTTCCCACAGATTTGCATACAAGACATCTGTACACCAAACACACCTGTCAACAATTTTCTCAGTCTCCTTAGACGTCAGTTTGAACATGTTTCACTGTATTAAATTCAAAAAGTTCTAGTTGATTATTTTTTTTTATTCAGAAATGTTAATAAAATGAAATCAGCCCATAAACATTTTTTAATCAACATTCTTAGAACATACATAGAAACTATGGCAATGTACTAATATATTGAAGGCTGTCTTTGGATCTTTCTAAATGACTACATTCTGAAGTGTTAAGAAGATGGACATTTTGCACCATAACTGAGACTAAAGAAGAGGGTGGATGGGAAAATATTGGGGGTTTGATCTGAGCAAATTTGTATTTAACCTTACAGCAAAATGTACTGATTTAGCAATAAACACTGCATTTCACACAAAAAATATTACCCACGATAATATTAAAACATTTCCACAGTATCTGCTATAGTATCATAGTTGTTTGGGAGTATGCAATTACAACTGTAGACATAAAACAGGCTGTAACAGAGCTACATCAATGCCCAACTTTCTGTGGCACACACTGACATAAAAGACGCAGCATTTGTGTACATCAATGGTTTGCATTGTAAACTTGATAGTATGCAATAATCATGAGAGACGTGTATTTTCTGAATTTGTTCTTAGTGAGATATCTCTACTGAGCATCTCTACTGACAATTTCCACCACTTCTAATCACAGGAATGCTCCTGTACTTGTGTTGCATCTACTGTAAAATCTGTATTAGAAGCAGCGGCTTCTATTAAAATGGCACAATGCAACAGAAGGGATGCGGCTTCTATTAAAATGGCACAATGCAACAGAGGGGATGCGGCTTCTATTAAAATGGCACAATGCAACAGAGGGGATGCGGCTTCTATTCGAGCATCTACACATATGAGAAATGGTGAATTTTTGGTTCTCAATTGCTCAAAAAAAATAGGTGCGACTTCTATTAGTGATGCGGCTTCTAATACAGACTTTACGGTACATCTCCATTTTGAGTCACAGGATACTGCAAGTCTTCCAATATGAGGGGTAAATGACTTCCCTGTCAGTAAGTGAAATCTTTACACAAATATATGGTTATACTTTAACCCCAAATCCATTTTTTTTATACATAGAAAATTCAGTTAGTGGTTAAAATCATTAATAAAGTTAATCATATAAAAGTTGACAGAGAATGGCAGCAAAATTTCCAGATTATTCAGTTATTGTGTTTGTTCAATTAGAAGCATATGCTCTCATGTGAATGGCTGCCAAAAATTTACCATTACTGTGACTTGAAATCTCACCAAAATATTGTATTTGACTCACATTTACCGCAATTAAAATGAATCACATTTGTATGTACATATAACAACCTGTTTTAGATTTCTCTAAATGTAAATAAAGTTGAGATTATAAATGTATTGAACCCTAACCCAATGAACACCATATATGTATTTTCAGATTTCACTTACAATCTACTCTGTCACTACAAATCGTCTTTCTCATAGCATTCTTTACAAACCCTGACAGGGTGGTCCCATCCTCTGGATGGGACGGCTTTACGTGCAGAAGAACACAATTCACAGACGCCATCTCCACATGCACGACAATGATGGATCACCAGTTTAGGACCAAACTTCTCTTTACAGCAACAGCACTGTTCAATTTCACAATCTGCTCTCCAGTATGTTGGTCTAGCTGCGTCAATGACCAAACCTGAAATTAATTAAATTTATTAATTTGCTTATTTATTCGCTTACTGCTAATTAAAAACTGTAGATGATTGACAAAAAAATAAATGAATCCTGGTATTTTTAATAAATATATCACTAATGATCTCTTGAATCAATAAACAGTACAGAAGCATATGCATGATCTACCTTTAGGATACTCAATAGCCGTAGCCACCAGACTAAATGTGCTTCCAATTACTTCGCCTACTTTCCTGGCAGTTACCGGATGACTTTCCGGATCTCCAACAATTGTGCTCTCATTATCATCACCTGAAAAGCATGATATATGAATCATACATTTTATTAACAATGTTAATTGTTGTATATATGTATTTTGCCTTTCATCATTAATACTGGTAAAATATTTTGACTCTATTATACCTTTATTCTTACAAATTCAAGTAAACATACATGCACATATCATTCATCCTTTCAATCAATGGAAGCCACCTTGGATATCAGCAAATAGATATTACCGGTAATAGGTGATTTTCCATTCAATGTAAGATCTTGCATATTGCATGAAAGGTGTGGACCGAACAAACGTCCAATGCAAATATTTAACCATTTGATTTTGGACATGAATTTCTTTTTTTATATAGTCCAGTGTCATAAAGCTGATCTTTGAGAGGATGTATTTCATTCAGATACCTTTACTTCATCAAAATCAACCATAATTAAATGTGTGTTGCATATTATAAAGCGTGGGAATCCTCCCCAAATACTTTTGCGTTTGACAAATTCCATGCGATATTTGACATTATTATAACAATTGAATATGAACTTTGTTTGTCCTGTTCCTACATTCAATTTCACACATAATACAGGATCATGCAGTGAACAGAAAATAGAATGCAATATTTCATCACAGCTCATATACAATACATACAAATTTCAATGAGGCATTAACAGATGGTACAACACATATGCCCAAAGTACTTATTTTCTATACACAAAGCAACATACGTTACATGAAAGACTATGTTAATATAAATCATCCAGGGTTTGGTACACTATATATTGTTAAACTTAATAATTTATTGGGTGTTATATAAACTAAATTTCATGAAAGTCACTATGACCCCCTGTCTTGAGAACTCAACTGAAATATTAACTTCTATAAAGTGTTCCCTAGAGTGTGTATTTTTACTTACAGCATATTGTATTGTAACATTCATCACATACTCTAACTGGGGTCTCACCCCAACCTCTCTCTGGGACAGGAGCCGTATTTGTAGTACAATCATCACAGAATCCTTGACCACAGGCACGGCAATGATGTTTAGTATCAGTGACAGCAAACTTATGTTGACATCCAGCACATTGCTATGAAAATTGAAAAGAAAAATTAGGACATGCCTGCAATTTAGCATGTACATGTACTGTAATTGTTCTATTATTGGCTTTATACAAAATATTACTAATTTTGATCATAGGAAAATGTCTGTAAGCACATGCGCTTCTAACAGAGCAAATACGGTATGGTTAAATTGACACATTGCCAAAGTTATAGTAGCCATAATTTTATAGTTGACATAATCCATTGTTGACATTATTTATTCATAGAGCTTTTTTCGCCATAAAACATGTAACATAGACAAAAAGTATACTATTCCAGCATGTACATGAATAGGAGAACAATATTTTCATATATTTACATGGATTTGGCTATTCGGTATCCAATAAGCTGGTGCAATTTGATCTGTCATCCAATCACTGAGCATCTTGGTGGGCGTGGCACTCATGTAACCCACAGTTCCAGCGACGTGACTGATACCGTCTAAGAGTTTTCTAGCTGCATTGTGTGTACCCTGTAGTACTGGATTACCCTGTAATGTTAGACAGTGTGTGTATTAGCCTTGTAGCATACAATGTACAACACATCATGGAAACAACTTTCTTTCATACTGGGGATGTACAGATATTTATACAGTATAACAGTATTCTGCAAGAATAATTCATGATGATATACTTACTCCAGGCCATACATGTCGTATTTCAGTTCTAACTACTGTTTCTACAGGATCTCTGTTTCCATACCAATACTGACGACTGCGATAGATAATGCCACATTTTGGACATTCTAAGACATAGCTAAAAGAAATATTGGAGTGTGTAAATTGTCACTGTTGCCACATAGCATATGGCACCTGGTGGGTTGTAATAAATCTGTGAGGCAGTTTCATGTTATTTTTTAAATATGGTCTATCAGTGTACCATATTGTCTCCAATAGAAGCACATTTCCAAAAGAAGTGCACATTGACCAAAAATAGTACTTATTGTATACTAGACAATTTAAATATAACTTAGTTTGACATGAACTAATGATATGTGAAATGCAGCTATGCCATTGTACCGGTAATTAAATAAAACAATGTTTATACATACCCAGACCATGCATACTTGGCAAGTCCCATCCATGACGTGTCTACAGAGGCTGATGTCTTAGGCACAACTATGACCTCATCCCCTCCCTCATAACACTTCTATAAATGACAAAACATAATACCAGTCATGTAATGTAATGATAGTACACCCCCACCCCATTATTATGTTACCGGGGTAACTGTATTCAAGGGTCATTTGTAGCAACTTATGCATGTTCTAAAAGTTAATTAATTGTGGGCAGATTGAACAATCCAACAAAAACAACAAAATAAATTGTTGAATTCAAATTCTTGCAACGTGATTTTCCAAAATGATTCGCATTTAATATGCATTCAATATATTTTTAATCTCATCAAAGGTAGATAAATAGATAAGGGCATGCATTTTGCAAAACTAAATGTACCCGGTAAGCATGTTGATATGCGATGAAAATTCCATTCAAACTACTCAGGACTACTTATTACCTTACATGTGTAGACTTTATTTTCATACTGGTGTTGGTATTTACATCGTCCTTTACAGTCATGGCTTAGATTGTCTTTAATGTGATTCATGCTTCTAACACAGCGCTCTCTACAGTTAGTGTATAACAACAGATATTATGTTTTGTATATGAAAACCACTCACACTAACAAACAGACCATCATGGCACCAACAAAAGAACTGATGAGAAAATTGTTCAGTTTACAGATGTCTTTTATAAAAGTGAGTTATGGCTTATACAAATTTGTTAGTAACTGTGGCTTATACAAGTTTGCAAAGTAAACTGTGATGAGCATATTAATGTGATTTCTTGTGGACTACTGTGGGAATACAGTGTACTATATTTATCTGAGTAAGAGCCCATGCCCGAGCAAACGCCCACCCCCCACTTTTGACACAATAAAGAAGTTGAGGTCATATCCGGACATACGCCCAAGGGGTCTTTTTCTACACAAAAAATAACAAAAAGTTCAAAAGTCGGCAAGTCTATAACAAGAGTTGGCAGAGCCATCTCGATGCTGGGAAAATAAGAGTTTTAAAGGTGTGTTTTGAAGCAATGGATTGGCGAACAGACAGAAAAGCAATTTCAAAGACTTTGACTTTGTTTTAATGAAAACTTGAAGTATACATGAGGGTACGAATTATTTGTTTATTTTGGAAACTCAATTTTTAACTGAAGGAATTAAACTAAATTAAATAATCTAGTTAGAAATGACTACTGTTCAACTCTGGACTAGTTGTTTAATTGTACTTAGCGAATGTTGCTATGACAATCAACCAATTCGAGAAAAAAACAGTCAACAATGACTAAATGCATGGTCACAGCCAAATCGCTGTTTAATTGAAATATAAAAAATCAAAGAAAACAGAGAACTCTAAGACAGGAAGAGAAACACAAGCGATGTAGTCGAACAGGCATTACGGCAACCATGTTTGTTTCACCTCAATCAATACAGTATTACCCACGATGCACTATTCCCATAAGCGTGGATATGTGGACGTTCATAGCTAAGCGTACTGCGGTCAAGAACAAGGTAAGAAATTACGTGACGAGACCATCCCGATTTGCCGTTGATTTCTGGATTCGGGTGCGTTTCATAAAAGAAGATCAATACGAACTACACCGCCGAGTGTAGTAGACATAATTCCGATGGCAATAGAAAGTTCGAAGGAGGCTCACACAGTTGATTTATAACAGACTAAGTAAATGGAAATCACTTTTCAGTCCTCGTTGCGGCACAAACGTATTTAAATGAGAGACGATGGCAACTCCACGTTGTGGCAGATTTAATACACACTACTACAGTTTGACAAAAGTTTACAAACACCACGGTCAGTCACACAAAGTCCCCCAAATTCAAAAGGGATTTTTAAATGCACCGGGGAACACGAGACGAACAATTGTGCATACTTAGATGTCTTCCCGTTCGCAAGAACACAAAGCCTAAACTATCAGTAATTCGAGTGATGGTATAACAAAATAACTCATCATTTGTAAATTCAATCCATCGAAAAAATATAAAGAACATTTTTATAAACAATTTTTAATTAAATAAATACACTTTGAAAAAAAACAAGATTTATAAACATAAATCTATTTAAATACATTCTCACTACAAATTACACAATACTTATTTACTAATGGAGTTTCTTCACAGCACAAACTATTGGAATCATGCACACGTGTGAGTACTTCGGTGACACATTTTATAGCTACGCCCAAAATAGTCCATCATTTATTACGTAACTGTGACCACATGACATCATTCTGTTAAAGGGGAACTAAATAGAGCCTATTTTGGTGTTTGTATTTATCAAGTTATGTATATTGATTATAAATTTGAAAAAAAAATGATTATCTTCAGAGTTATGATGATTTAAATATGAGAAACCATAAACCTGCGAAGGACTTCTGTTTGCGCCATCTTGCCATAAAAAAAACGCCCTCATGAGGTATAAACAGGGAAGGTAACAAAGCATGATGACGAAATAGTATCTGATTAAATATAAGCAACTTAGGGAGCCATAGTTGGCTGGACTGGTGAATTGACTTCTAGTCTAGGTTTTTTCGACTTTTACGTTAATGTTATTTACAAGCGTATCAACATACAAACATTATGGATGTGCGATTGATCGAGACAGGCATTTTGTTTTGTTTTTTGTCTAACTGTACTAATAAATGCTGTTTCCAGTATTGCACTGTGTGGCGTGCA